ATTGCTCATATTTACATATTGTTTCTAAGTTATATACTATAAGCTTTCTTATGTATAATATTTGATATAGTCTTATTTTGAAAGCACCGGAAGTCGAGCAGCATGTGTCTTCCTGTTTAACGAGTAAACGCTGCATAGCTAAATCTGTTCTCACTGTGCTGCGTTTTTGGCCAGTACAGCATGTAATTTGATGTGAAGGGTGTATTTCGTTTATGTACATATAGAACTATGTTTCATGATGTGTTTGGAGGTTTATTGCAAGAAAGGTCACCGAGAACAGAAGTTTAAAAAGACGCTAGCATACGCGCTAACTAGCCGCTAGCATACGCGCTAACTAGCCGTTAGCGATGCTGCTAGCTAGCAGCTAATGTTATCATGTTGTTTGTGTCATTATGTGTTTCTGTACATATTCAGGGAATATGTTGAGTTTATTATTTAGGAGAATTATGCCTGTTTATTTGAAATTGTGCCTGTTTACACAAAGACTTATGCACATTATTTCTTTGTTGCAGTTTTACCATTCATTCATCCATCTATACCAGCCAATAAATCCAAAGAAAAGGCTTATAGTGTGGTTATTGGAAATGATGGTTATCTACCTGCTCAGCTAAGAATGAGGGCAGGACATAAATAATTTTTTTGTCGCTAATGGTCACTAAAATGTTTTTTACAACATGTCCAGTATTAAAATTCAAAACCTTTATTCACAAATATGCTCTGTTTTTTGTGAAGTGGAGCCAGCCAATCCTGTTCGCGTATGCAAATTAGCCATGGGCTTTTCCGCAGTTAATAGCGGAACAGATTGTACGAAGACAGCAGGTCTTCACTCTTGTTTGTGGACCTCAACGGACCTCCTCTGGACAATTCTGGACATTTCCATTCATCAGAAACTGGATTAAAGCAGGACATGTGCGTGCATGAAAGAGAGAGACAGAGAGACAGACAGTCTTTGTGTGTGTTTTCATAGACTGACTGTCTGTTCAGGCTCTTGCCCGCTCTACCAGATTCACAGAAAGCTTCATCCACCAAGCTGTCAGGAAGCTGAGCCCCCCTCAAGCTACTTACATAATTGGTAATAATAATAATTTTTCTGCTGCCATTACCATCTGCCTTTTTGCACTAGCATAAGTATAGCATATTTTATATTATTGTACATTTTATATTTTACTGTGAAATTGAATGTTTAAATTTCAGTATTAGGAACTGATCTTATCTGTTGTGCCTGTGCACTTTATCGGTTTCACTGTTGGTGAATGAGAAACGAACGTCCTCTCCAGTCCTTGTATGTCTGGTGAATCTGAAGAATTGACATTAAAGCTGACTTTGAGTTTGAAATGTTATAGGCCTACTGCATATTGAGAAAATTTAGATGGGTATTGCGCAACAATCGGGAGATTGGGACCCCTCCAAATAATGAAAGGTATTTCGCACACTGGTAAAGAAGAAGCTAATTTCTTGAGAGACAAAAGGGGTTTTTGCTGCAGTTAGCCCACAGGACATGCACAGCATGACCCTGAGTGGCTGCAAAACAGAAAGTCTGATGAAGCAGCGATGTGGCTAGCAGATCAGAAGTGTCACCTGTTTTACACCCGAGGGAGAAAAACATTTCTGCAGTACTAAAATGCAGCAGCTCAGACGCAGTCAGCAGTTCACCTTTGCAGAAGTATAAACTGCTAGAGGATCAGAACTCCTTAGATCCTCATTATTCTCCGTATATTTTAAGAATAAAAAATCCAGCCGACCAGTCAGGCCTTATGTGAAACAGTCACTGGTGAAACTGTTTGTTTATGCTGTTGTTTTGTAACTGGTTATGAGTCTCATAGTCGCTGTGAAGGAACTGAAATCCACTTTTCTTTGCAGACAGTTTTTGCTCATTTAGAAGCTGTTTCAGGATTTTTCCCTTTATCTTATTTAGATTAAAGTTTAGACTCTTTGTTTTTTGTTTTTTTTACCTTTCTGCTTTTGATTTTTCTGTTGTGCTTTAGATTTTTTCTCTACAGACAGCCACATTTCTCCTGCTGGACTCATGTTGTCGTTAATCAACAGAGCATTTCTGTTCCTAAAGAGGTTGTTTAATCGATCTTCTTTCTGTTTTTGCATCACTGTCCGTAGTAATGCGATTGGTTTTAACCCATTTGCATTACCATTATTCTCCATATATTTTAAGATCTACACTGAAATGAACTGCTTCAACTGGTAACAAGTGAATGAAAGATGTTTGGCCAACTTATCAACCTTTAAACTTAAAAAATTAACTTGATTTAATAACTTGTTAACATTTGTTGCGGTTCATTTAAGTCAGAGTTGCATTTTCTTTTCAGAGTGCACAAGGCTGCAAACTGTTAGGGGTTGCTGATGTAATCATTTCACAGGTTAAAGGCAGCCATTTCTTCAGAAAACCTGCTTGCTTTTAATAAAAGGTGCTCCTCTGGTTTCTGCACAGATGAGATTTAGTCTTCGTTTTAATGATATTTTCTAATAGTTGTACAGTTTTGCTCCAGAAATGACTGTAGTTTTGGTTTCAGCTGTGCTTTCTGTGGCCAGAGAACCCTTCTTCACCCCTCTTTCTTCTAAATTGTTCATCCTCTCTGCTCTCTGCCCCACATGATGCGGCTTCTGATAAGTGTTATTTTCTGAGGCTGCAGTGAAACCCTGTGACGTCAGGAATGCTGCAGCAGCACTGTCAGATTACTTTTCCTGTAGCTCCTTTGCAAAAGACGCCGGTTGTGTTTTTTGTAAATTGCATTTAGATATCTTAGAGAGGGATGTTTTCCTGCTGCTTATGGTTCGCCTAATGAATAATTTCTCTAATGGAAGCAAGTCTTTTTTATCATGTTTTGGCTGAATTTTTAATCTGACAAACAAAAGTAAAATTTAAGTATCATGAAATGCAAAATGTAGTTTGAAGAATAAAAAATCCAGCCGACCAGTCAGGCCTTATGTGAAACAGTCACTGGTGAAACTGTTTGTTTATGCTGTTGTTTTGTAACTGGTTATGAGTCTCATGGTCGCTGTGAAGGAACTGAAATCCACTTTTCTTTGCAGACAGTTTTTGCTCATTTAGAAGCTGTTTCAGGATTTTTCCCTTCAACTTATTTAGATTAAAGTTTAGACTCTTTGTTTTGTTTTTTGTTTTTTACCTTTCTGCTTTTTTTCTGTTGTGCTTCAGATTTTTTCTTTTCTTATTTACAGACAGCCACATTTCTCCTGCTGGTCTCATTTTTTCGTTAATCAACAGAGCATTTCTGTTCCTAGAGAGGTTGTTTAATCGATCTTCTTTCTGTTTTTGCATCACTGTCCGTAGTTATCAGTGATGAGAGTAATGGCGTTACTAACGCCGTTACCTTTTTTTAGTAACGAGTAATCAAAATTATTACACTTTATGTAACTATAACGCAGTTACCATTGCCGACTGCACGTTACTCAGGTCGCACAATGAACCTTTTTTCATGATGGGACTCGTGCGCGCCTTGTCATGAGAGAGGGGAGGATGAGATTGGCTGTTATGGGTGTTAACGCACAGAGAGATGGAGAGAGAGGAGGACTCCAGCGAGCTGCGTTTCCCCATCAGATAGTTTCCCCTGCATCTGCACACAGCGCAGGCGGCACGATTCACCGCGCAAGCGACAGGAAACGCGCATGCTTGCTAAAGGCGCGTAACAGCCACGCTGTGCTCGCACCACAGGGGAACTACGGAGAGCGTGAACGATCTAAGGATGGATGGATGGATGGACGGACGGACAGACTGGGTTTATAGGCCCATCAGATAGCGTTGCCCCCGATGTCATTTACTTTAAGCTGCAATAAAAGCAAAACTCTGCAGGTTCTTGTCTTTGTCGTCCGCTCTATTCAGCTGGCTTTGGAAACACACGGTGAGAAGGTGGGGGCTGGGTGGTGAGGGTGAGAAACGCAAAAGTAACGCAATAGTTACTTTTACTAGTAACTAGTTACTTTTATTGTGGAGTAACTCAGTTAGTTACTCATTTACTTTTTGGGAGAAGTAACTATAACTGACTTTTTCAAAGTAACGTGCCCAACACTGGTAGTTATCCGATTGGTTTTAACCCGTTTCCATTATCAGCTCTTTTCCAGGCTAATATGCTGTCTTTTCTAAAAAGCTTGTGTTTCTTTTATGCGGTTATAACTCAGCCCAAAGGAGAGGATTGAGATCTGCTTTGTGGCGCAGAGACCCTCAAACAGCAGCTAGATTAGATCTTTGCTTCTTTCTAAAAAGTTTGGTTGGCTTAGTTTGGAAATCTTTGATTGATAAACGATTTTTTTATTTATTAACTGTGGTTATTGTTTATCTATTTGACAACAAATGTGACCAAAGAAGTAAAAATAAGAAGAAACTAAAGTTATTTTTTTTGTTCCAGTATCATCTCAGCCATCCTTCAACCTGCCGTTTATCGAAGGTTAACTTTCCACTAGCCTGGGCGGGTCTTATTTTTAAAGTTTATATTTAGTTTAACAGGATTTCAAACCACCTCGATTCTACAATAAGCCGAGGTGTAAACAGTTAAGACTAAGAGGTTTTTTATTTTATTTTAAAGGCTATCGGGATGCTCTGCACGCTTCTGTTCATCTCTTTTTATCTTTTAAACTCAAAAAACCAAGCTATTTATAAGTATGACTCCGGCAAAAAGAAAACCTTCCCCCTGTTCTCGTCCTCGGGCGCGCGCACAATGCGGTCTGTGGTTTGGTTACTAGGTGATAGAGAAAAAAAAAAAAAAAAGAACACCCAACACAGAACACTCACTCCCGCCCTCATACTTCACCCAATCTACGTAATGAACTCATAGCGGAGTGTGTCGATAACATTAAGAAGCCTTTTAACTTTATTTACACCTCAGTCCTTCTCTATTTTATAAACAGAAACTAAAAATCCGATGAGGCCTGTTCTTGTAGTGGCTTTTTCCTCTGTGCTGAGCAGGGATTTAAATCAGAGTTGTATGTTAAGTTTCTTGGTCTGTGGTTTGGTTACCTGCTTTTTAAGCTGTGGAGTATAAATGGTGTAAATCTTAAAGAAGTTTAAGTTGAAAAAACGTTCCCCTTATCAGTGGTTGGTTTCACTCTCTGCTGATGGTTTCCAGCTCAGTTCACATGTGAAGGATCAGGCAGCAGCGACATCAAACATCTGGCTCATCCCAATAATCCTGCAGCCATGAGTTCAGTAGACGGCAAACAGAAACCGTCGGTGAAGCTTGGATTCTGAAACGGTTAACAGGTCGATTACCCCTGCAGCCATCGCCTCTGCACGCCACAGCCTCACTGTCTTCTGGTCTGATAGGAAGTGGTTTCTCATCTTCAAGCCGAAGCTCTACCAAAGGTGGCATGCATGGTTTATTTTGAGGTTTCTATGATATGCTCAGAGATTTGTGCAAAAAAAAAAAAAAGATTTTAGACATTCTCCATGTTGGCTCTGCATTGGTTTTTTCGCTGCTGTTATCCAGATATGAAGCAGTTTTTGTTTATGGGTAACTCTGTTTTGTTGGATGGAGGATGGATGAACGGTTTGCTCTCATCAAATGAAAAAAAAAAAATCGTACGCTTCAACACCACTGCTGTGAAGTATCACACATTCCCTTTTAATGCCTCCTTTAGACCCAGCTTAACCCGCTCACCACTACGGTGGAAGAAAAGTGTCAGAAAACCTGCACTGAAAAGGACTCAAATAGATTTCATGGTAAATTTGTAGATGTGATTTAGTAATGAGATGTGTGCGTATTTTATTTTTGCTGAGGATGTGATGCTGACAGGATGTTCAGTTTGGTCCACGGCTCATTTAAACTGATCTCTTAAATGTGCTTCTCCCTAATTTAAGCAGGTAAATGAGATGATCTACAATAAAGATCAGTATTTTCTCTTAAAGATTTTTTTAATGCAAATTGTCTACTCAGATCAAGCTAAAGTGGCTTATTTCAAGAAAAAAATGGCTTATCTTTTAATTTCTGCATTGCACATGTTTTGAAAGGAGGCTTCACACTTCAAAACCAAGTCTTGCCATCTTAGATCTAATCACAAAGCGTTTTTGAGGTTTTCAGATTTATATACTAAGCAGAAGCTGGTTCTTTTGGATTATTCATCTTTTGAGACAAATCTACTTAATATAAGGCCAGTAATCTACCATACAGGGAAATAATTGCACTTTGTAAAACTTCTGGTTTTGAAAATAGATTTCATGATCGTGTTTTGTTTTGTTTTTGGGTTTCTTCTCTGGACGTCGGGCCGACACCTGCTGATGCACACAGCTGAACAGGAGGAAGTCATATTAACTGCCTGCCATTTTCGTTGCAGTGTTTTGGAGCTGCTTAACCTCAAAAACAAATGTTTCTTGGAATAAACCCACTTGTTTTGACCCAAAAACAACAAAAAAAAAAAACTCTTTAGGGACCCACAAACCTAAGCTCCACCCCCCCCCCCCCCCCCCCCCCCCCCCCCCAACACAAAGGAGTTGAGGATCATATCTTTATTTCGGTGTGTTGGCCAACCTCATCTCTCTACCTCTCCTTCCTATTTTAGCTCAGAGCTTGAGTGTGGCAGCGAAGGTTGAACCGGATTGAATGTTGAGGTTTGCATTAAATGGCTGCAGGTGTTTTTAGCGAGGAGGGTGATCACATGGGCTGTTTAACTGTTGGGGCCGACAGTCGGCCCCATCCCCAGGGCCTCAGGAGGAAGCCAAGCACCGTTCATACAGTTTGCCGTTTTCCCCCACACACATCTGTGACTTTGGTTACCCGCCACACAAATCTGCACCCCATGCTTTAGACGGTGGCAGGAGGCTCATTCAGAACAAGCATGCAGAATTTCCTAACAGACATGAAAATTCTTGCAGGGTGTCTCAGTTCCTAGCAAATGTTTGCACCGAGGCCAGAATCATTCGGTTTGACCTTAACCTCTCCTCTCCCAACAGAAAGAAGAAGGGAAGGTCCAAGGGCAGCTGAACCACACTGACTCCAGCCAGTACATCAGAGACCTCAAAGACCAGATAGCAGAGCTGAAACAGGAGGTTCGTGTTTATTAGGTGCCACATCATCACCAATCAAGTGTGCTTTTGTTTTCTTTTCTTTACCCAGGATGTCTTTATGGTTGGGGTGATGATCAGATGGGGTGTTGGTGCCACTTCTTTGATGCAGCTTGTCAAGTTTTATCTTTTTTTTTTTGTTGCTTTAAGCCTCACTGGTTGGTAGAAGTGTTAACTACACCCAGACACTTCCTGTGCGGAATCCACTGAGCACACCGCTTGCATCAAAAACATGCCCTGCACGTTTTAAGTTAACTCTGAAGCTCTCTACCGAGCTCATCAGAGCGGACGTAGGGACCTAACATCAGAAAGTTAAAGTCCTGCAGCACTGAAGCGCTCGTACCTCTAGAAATGACTATGTCCTCAGAAACCCTGGACTTGTTTCACGGTTGCGAGGCGACGCGGTTCCTTAGTCCCAAATCTCAGTCCTTTCACCTCAGGTTTTCTTAGAGTCTTTCCCCGTTAAATTAGCTCTGCCCATCTCCCTTTAAACTCTCACCGGTTTTGGCTGCACCCGTCACACAAATGAATTCCTGCAGCACTACTCTGCCGCCACCATGTATTAGAATGTAACAGTGTGTTGAGGAGTGATTCACTACATTTTTTTTTATTACCATGTTTACATACAGCCCATAATTTCTGCCAGACCTGAGCAGAAACCATTTAACCCTTGGTTTCCCTTATCCAAAGTGCAAAGCAACAAAACCTCTCCTTTTTGTAACTTTGTATCGTCCTCCAGGTCCTTGTTTTCATTGTTTAGATCAATTTTCACAGTTCTTATGTGATTTATTATCGAGTACTGACATGGCCATTATAGTATAGTAATTTAAACATTCATCCTGACATTGAAGGTGATAGCTTAAATGCAGCCTTTGATGCTATTGTACACTCTATTGGCTTTGTTCAAAATGTGCAGAGTCCCACACATTCTCATCTTCATACTTTGGACCTTGTGCTGACATATGGCATTGTCTGTTAAGAAATGAGCATTTCCTCACAACTCTGTCCTCTCTGAACACTCTTTAGTATTCTTCAAAATTACTTTAATGCAGTTCTCCTCCCTGTATGAAGATTTAACTTTAGCAGATCATTATCAGATAATACAGTAATGAAGTCTAAAGAATCTTTTTATCTCCTTTGTAACGCTGTAAATGACTGCAGAGGGAAGCCATTTAATATATTCCTCTTCACAAAATTATGATTTCGTTGATGAGGGGACTAGCACTAGCACCTTTCATGTTGTTATTTGTCACCACCGTGCCTTAGCATAGGGAACTGTTTCATGGTGTGAAAATAGTCACAAACTTGCATCAGCATAAGGCATCACCCCTGATCAATTAGCCTAAATGATGTATGTCTTCATTTATTCATTCTTTTTATTCTCACTGCATTAACAGAACTGTTTTGTTGTGTTTTCTGTCAGACTGATATGACTGGCTCTAAAAACGCTTCAAAGCAGAGACTGTACAGCTGGAGTCATTTCCCCTCTTTGCTTTTTGTTTTGAATTCTTTGATTTCTAGCATGTCGCTGCTAGGAATCAAGTTAGCCCTTGTTAGTCTCTGCTGTTACCAACCCTGAAAGAGCACCACAGTTACAGTCCTAATTTTATCTCTTATATCTGGAATTTCTGACTGAGATCACCCACCTCATGACTTCCTTTCTGTCGCTGCAGCAGGTGCTATTATTTTCTCTGCTGTATGTTGCTTTACTGTGCTCTGAACACATTTCTTCCTACATGTCTGTCTGTTCCATGGCAGGCTGATCAAGGTGAGTGGTTTCAGTTGTGCTACGTGACCCACAGTATGTTTCAACCTCATTGACTGGATGTGAACCTGTTGGTCATGGAGACAGTCCTAAATGCTCCTCTTGCTCAGAGTATCTGGAATCTTCTCTAAAGGGGGACTTTCGATACAAAATCTGATGAAAACCATGAAGCTTCATGGTTTAGTTTTATAATCAATTTAATATTTTTTGCATTTGGTAAGTAAATAAAAATAAAAAACAATGTTTTTGAAGTTTTATAACGTATAATTTCTGCATGATTATTTCCGATAAACAGCCATTTCTCTAAGCTCCTAAATAAAGCATCATGGACGATCTCCCATGCAGCCATTTGTCACATTAACTCAGCTCTACATTCCTGTAGACTTCATCGTATTCCGGCACTTCATACCCAGCTTGTCACTCATTACAACTGTTAATGTGATTACCGTATTTTCACGACTATAAGGCGCAATTAAACGTCTTTTTTTTCCCTCAAAATGTGCGGTGCGCCCTTTGGTGCGGTGCGCCCTATGTGTGTTGTAACTGCGACTTTTGAGACCACCTCATTGAGGAGATGATGAAAGAGTGGCTGAATGTAAGGAGACCAGGTGTTTTTTTTCCACTCATCCACCATCGCTGTTAATATGTAACTCCATGCGTGCCCATCTCACAGCTGATGTGAAAAACATGGTGAAACAAATTAACGCTGTGCTCGCTGTTCAACCGCTCGACATCGGTGTGAACCGGACCCAGCAGGCGCAGCAGAAGCAGCGAGTTTACATGCAAAGTCAATGGTTGACGCGCGTATAGGTGCAGCAAAAGGTCCTGCAGCGCGTTTTGAGCAGCAGCCGCAGCGCCTCGGGAGCGTTTAAGTATCTGACGCACCGCCAACGCGCTGCTGCTCGAGATGGAAAAATTGAAGTTTTGCTGCTGGACGCGCCGCATCAACCAATCAGAGAAGCTGATCTGGGAGCTGACAGCGAGACAGACACAGCGCTCTGATGACATATGATATTAACGCAAATGAAAAAGGCTGGGTGGATGAGGAGATGATGAAAGCGTGGCTGAGGCAGGTGTATGTGAGGAGACCAGGTGGTTTTTTTCCACGCATCACCATCGCTGTTAATCTGTGACTCCATGCGTGCCCATCTCACAGCCGATGTGGAAAAAAAAGGTGAATCAAATGAACGCTGTGCTCGCCGTTATCACGGGGGTCTGACAAAGGAACTTCAACCGCTCGACATCGGTGTGAAGCGGCCGTTCAAAGTAAGGCTGCGAGCGGCGTGGGAGCGGTGGATGACAGACGGAGACCACAGTTTCAGGATAAGTGGAAGGCAGCGCCGGGCGCCCCCACATACCGGCGGTGCGCCGACAGTAGAAATCAGTTCAACAGCAGCCTCTAGGCTGGGCAGCCTCTGGGTTCACCGCGGTGGCTGGCAGGTGTTTTTCATCTAAATAATTTAAACTGCAGGCACCAGGATACCGGTAATAAAAGCGAACATATTCCGTCGGCAGGTTTCAGGATTTTAAGTTAATTTAGGAGTGATCACAGCGCTGTGTCATCTGCGATGTGTCTGTCTCACGGCCAGCTCCCAGGTTTGATTAATACTTTGTAATAAATACATGAATAAAGCACAGTCATACTCAGTTTTGCCCCCGCTGTATTTTTAAATACGCAGTAGAGGTATTTAAAGGTAGTAGAGGACATGTACCTGTATATAAAAAACGTGCCCTATAGTCCGGTGCGCCTTATGTGTGTGTTAAATACAGAAATGGGACACATAACTGAGACTGCGCCTTTTAGTACGGTGCGCCTTATGGTCGTGAAAATACGGTATTAATTTTTTCATTTTGTGTTTTTGTGTGTGTTTAAAAAAAATATGCAACTGGAATATACATTCTCTTAAACATGCCATTTAATAACCCCCTCAGGGCAGTATTTGAGCCAAAACTTTATAAATAATATAAAGTCTATTTATTATAAATATTAAATCTTTTGTCTGTGAATATCCTCGATCTAAGATGCAGTTTTAGCTTCACCTGGTTTAAATTCTGTAAAACAAAAACCCCTTTCTCTACTTGAAGTCAGAATCTGCCAGCATTACTCTTAATAGTTCATTCAAGCCACTTTCCTTAGAGTAAACAGTGACGCTAACGTTAGCTTAGTTCATACAAAGTTCCAAATTTAACTTATCACATATTGCTACGGTTGTCAAAATGCATTCATTATTGTGTTTAGCTTTCGTAATAATCTTTAATTAACATTGATCTCGTAATTATGACTATTCTTGTTGCGACTTTATTCTAGAAATTTTGCGACTTTATTCTCGTAATATTACGACTTTATTCACATAATTTTGCGACTTTGATCTTGTAATTTCATGACTATTCTTGTTGCGACTTTATTCTAGAAATTTTGCGACTTTATTTTCGTAATATTACGACTTTATTCACATAATTTTGTGACTTTGATCTCGTACTTTTATGACTATTCTCGTTGCGACTTTGTTCTCGTAATATTACGACTTTATTTACATAATTTTGCGACTTTGATCTCGTACTTTTATTACTATTCTCGTTGCGACTTTATTCTTGTAATGTTACGACTTTATTCTCGAAATAGAAGAAAAAAAATCTCTAGCCTGGCCCTAATACTCCGTTGTACGCTTGAAATAATACAGTGCAATTGTTTTTTTCCTATTTTAAATGTAAATTTTTTTGTTCCATTTGCAAAGTGCTTGATTGCCTCCTCAATTCAAGATCAAATGCACTTATTTAAGAGGAAATTACTTATTCGGATTTCATTTTTTCCAGTGCATGACGAGTAGTGAATGAAACTATCTGAGCAGCACTGTACTGGTTTCCTCTCCTCTCTTGTTTTTATCCATCTCTCACCTGTTGAAGTTGCCCGGTGTGACTCAATATGTCTGATTCATGTTTTAAGTGTCGCTTGATGCCGTCTTACCGTCCACCTGCAGCTTTCATTGATACTCAGGTTATAGATTATTAACATTCACGTTCTTCTTTTTCCAGATTTGCTGCTTGAAAGGACAGAAGGGCTTGGTCAGTAAGTCCACCTTCGATGGGATCCACATCGTTAATCACTATATGGGTGTCAGTGAGTCTTACCAGTCCTCTGATGACGACGGAGCAAAGAACACCAACCTGCAGAACCAGAACCTCCTGCAGAGGAGCGGAGGTCGTATTAAGCTGCACCCCAAGCTGGAGGACACGGACAGTGAGGAAGAGGAGGATGGGGAATCGCTGCGGCTCTCTGTGCCTCAGAGCAAGTCCACCACGGTGTGAGGGGGGGGGGGGCAGAGCGTGCTTCTCACAGCCATTTCAGACATTTGGTTTTCCAAAAAAAGCAAACCCATCATTTCATATCTTTTGAATCAAACTTGGAGCTTTATTTGGCAGGAGTTTTGTTTTGTTTCGTTGGCCCCACTGACACAGCCGAGGTCAAACCAGGACCTCCGCAGAGAATCGAACGGCGCAGATCGTACCAAACTCTACAAGGACACGGGGGGGCCGGGGGCTCATCTGGGTACAACACAGAAAGAGAGACTGTGCAATAAACATTTTATCCTGTATTCCACACTTCATCCAACATTGTTTTATATTTTTTAAAGGATTTTATAAACTACTAACAAGACTACATCGATGCTGTCGCTACCGTTACTTCCATCATGCAGGGGCAGAACCGTACGAATGCGTGTGTGTGTGTGAGCGTGTGTGTGAGAGCGTAAATGTATCAGACGATGTTTGTCGGAGCCTGGTATCAAAGCTGCTTCTGTCCGACCGATTAACGTCTCTGCGTCGCACCCTGCACGGATTGGTCAGTGTGACATCCGCAAACATGTAGATATGTAAATGTGTTTATTTTTTCCTTATTTTTTTTACTTGAAAACATGTTTAATATTGCATATCGGATGTTTAGATATGTTGTACAAATAAAGAAGGGACATAAGTTATATATGATAAAGGAGATGGATTATTGTGTGTGTGGGGGGGTGCATCATAAAAACCTTTCAGCTTGTTACGTTCTGAGAAGGAAACATGGAAATAAAAGCTAAACAAGTGCAGGCAGGGTCATCAGCATGGTTGGCTGCATTTGGTGCATCTGCAGATGAGTCAAACATGAGTCAAATCTGTTGTTTGATTTATTTGGTTTGCATGATAGAGGAGATGGAGTCAAATCTGCAGGAGATGAGCACCAAGGGAACAGCTGGATGTGTGCAATGAACACTAACTTTCTGCAGAAACAGGCAACACTATGAAGCACTCGCTCACTCTGGACGGACTACATGAGATTGTTGCACTTGTAAGAGAAGTGATGAGGTTCATAATAAAATGTTTGATAACTTCTTCTCTCTGATGTGTGTTTTAATGTCTGCAGCAGATTTATTGAAAAAAAAAAAAAGCCTACAGCTGACTGATCACACATGCACTTTTTTTTTTTTCATCTCAAAGCGTCTTTTCCTCTCAAGATTCTCGCTAAGATTGTCTGCTTTCAGGAAGTGATTTGTCGCGGTTTCCAGAGCTGCAGCCCCGCTTCTAATTTTTTCATGCACAAAACCACATTTTAAGAGCAGCTCTCCTCTGGCACCGAGAAATAACCCAGCTCTGTATCTTATTAAAACCTAATGAAGGTGATTTTTTTTTCCTCTCTGGCTGAAAATGTAGCCCAGAATCCTCTGAACGCAACTTAAGATTAAATCCAATATCAAAATATCCACTTTAATTTACGTGTTTAATCATTTTTAAATGAGTTGAGGCTTTAATTTAAATGTGAAAAATTAAATTAGATGGAGGCAGTTTTTTTTTCCAAGAGCGTGCCTTCAAATCACAGACTGACAGACCTCTGGAAGACATGAATCATTTGGGTGTTTTTCACATTTAAGAAGCGATTGAAAGCTGAATTTAACTGAAGCGGGGAAAAGGAATGGGAAATTAGAAATAAATCACCATGAGAACAATGATTAAGGGGAAAAAATGATCTAAACAAATTGAGAGCATTTATAGATTTATAGTCTGTGTATTTCCTGCTTGGGATGACTGCATTTCCTGAGCCATTCTGCCCTCTCAAGCGGCACCATAAATATTTGCTTTTTGTCTTATAAATTAATTTAGAACAAAAAGAAATGACAAAAAAAGGTTAAGAGAAAATAAAATAGTTGAGGCCCTCTGTGGAACATGTGCTCATTCAAAGCTTTAACCTCCAAACTGGATTTTTGATCCAAAATTGAAGGATTAACAAACTGCAGTCAAAGGAAGCTGTTAATATGGGCCAATATGGCTCTCCACCCAGAGGGTAATCTATCAGAGGGTGGTACAACATTTGATCGTGTCTGCATCAATATTTTTCAATTGAAGGTATTAATAGATACATTTCCTGATTGATTTCTTTTTTCTTTTTTTTTTTTGCTAATTGAAATATTATATTTCATGTGTCAGGCGCAATCTGGACTGTTTTTAGTATAAATGCAACAAAAAAAATATTACTGATAAAAATAATGCATCCCTTACTTGCATCTAAGCATATTTAATTACTCTAACACAAGTTTTAGGTTTCCTTCTCTGCTAACATGAAAACATTGTGTTAAAGTTATTAAATATGCTTAAATAGATGCACAAAAAGATGCATTTTCTTCAAATTAACATTTTCTGTCATTTAAAATCTGTATTGCAATATTAAAAATAAAAAATATGCAAAAAGATTTTCATTTTTTGTTTATCTTATAAAGCCTGGATTAAATGCAGCTCAAACCTGATTGTTTATAAACCTGTTTTTGTTGTCGCTTGTTTTCTTTTTAGGAAATTTTAATCTATTTGAGAATATCTGAATAATCTGGTGCAGAATGGGGCCCCCGCTTAAACTCCCTGTCCCATCCAGATTATTAGCTGTGTCTCTCTCGCCCCCCCAGAGTTGCACAAGCCTGTGCCGTCCTCCTATCGGGGCCCTGCTGCGGCCGCTGCTGCTGCTTTTATCGCTTCATTTCTTCATGACACGATGACTCTAATCGTTGCAGATTGATTTCCTCTCCCTCATTTTTGCAGATAAAGGCCCAACTGTAGCTCTGAAGGATCAGATTGACCGGAATTATCCGGTTTATCTGATATATTTCGTTATTAGTAAAAAAAAAAAAATGACATTAAGCAGATAGATTGTTTAAAGTGTGTTTATTCCCTCCGATCTGCCTAAAAATCAGAATCCGTCCACTTTCTGATTTTTTAACATGCGTCATGACGCATGGAGCAGAGGCGCGTGACGCAGCATACCCAAAGTTTCTTGCAGACACTGCGAAATAATAGTTAGAACAGAGACAGGTAGTCTGGTGAGATTTATTTATTTTCCCCCACCTCTCTAGTTTACCACTACGTTTTAATGTAATTTCGGTGCGCCCTGTGGGCGCGCCTCCGCGTTTCCTCTTCCCCTTCCCCCGTCCTCCTCCTCCCTCTCGCTGATTGAGTAGGCTAAGTGAGAGGTTGATAAAGCGTTTATCGCTCCTCTTCACTGATGCGCCGCTCTACAGGGGATCCGCAGCTCGTTGAAATGAAAAAAGGTGAATTTTAACCTTTAAATCCAGTTTTATTCCGGCTGCAGATTATTGTCGCCAAAGCAGGGCAGAGGTGAAACAGCGCGTCATGTTGCAGAGGGGAGCCCTGAGATGAGTGGGTGAGAAAGAAAAAAAAGAAAAAAGAGTCGTGACCAGAAGCTCTGCCCCCCCACTGAGTCTGTCTACGTCTTACCTGTCGGATAGGATGGCGAACTCCCTGCAGCTTCGGTGACACCTGTCCGAGCGACACCTGGCAGACGGGCCGGCAGCAGCGCGCATGCTCTGTTGTCATGTGGGAAACCTCTTAAAACGCTCAGGATGTCACCGGTTGAGATCAAATCTGTAAACAGGACAGCGCCCATCAGGTCTCCTCCTTCTACGCAGCAGCTGGATCCCCTTTAATTAACCTGTGCGCTCTGAACCCCAAAGATGCCCCGCTCCTTCCTGGTGAAGAGTAAGAAGGCGCACAGCTACCACCAACCACGGACCTTGGAGGATGATTACAGCAGGCTGGACAGCATTCTGGCGCACATCTGCTCAGGTATTATTTAGAAGAAAACTAGAGCGGTCATTTGGATCCGATCTGATCAAACTGGGCGGTGTGTTTTAATCCTGAACCAATGGGATGGATATTTACAGGCTTGGTTTTATTATTTTATGTGAGGTGGACGTAATTATTTTACGATTTGTTGCGCAATTAAATGGCGCAAACAAATGTAATCTTATTACTAACTGAAATATTGTCTTTTTTTTTTTTGCTCAGTAAGAAATGAGTGAAAAGGGACAAAAATGATAAAAGTTTAACATGAATAAAAACAATAGAAGTTCTATGAAAATGTTGGAATTGAATGAAAACAAGAAACATGATTTAATCCGATCCGATTAGGGAAAATAACAGGTTGTATTTATTTATTTTATTTTTGAGTGTTTTTACTTTAAAACTAAAAAAATGTGAAGAGTTTTTATAAAATGGTTTTATAGAGAAAACCCCGTTAATTCCTCCGCGGTTCCACCTCAGATGCAGATAAGATACCGGAGGAGGACGCAGACCTCCCGGCGGACAGGTACGGCCTCTCTCCGGCCTCCCATCAGGGGGATCCCGCTGACTTCTCCCCCAGATCTCCGCTGAGCAGCGCCGATAGTCTGTGCGCTCGTTCCCCGGACTATGAGGACTTCTGGCGGCCTCCGTCCCCATCCGCGTCCCCTGGTACTGACACAAACACAGAGAAAAAAATCCTCATGATGTGTTTCCATCTCATCAAAACATTGTAATTAAGATAATTTCAGTTTAGGATATATTTTCTCCTTGGTCTAAATTAAGGCACATTTCTCTGTATCAATCCACCATAAATAATATTTAATTTCTGACTGTAATTATCAGATAATCTCGGTATGTCTGGACCCCTTTAGGGCCCCTATCCCACTGATTTGATCACTTTTCCTCTGTTCTCCTCCAGCTGACTCAGACAAATCGCTGTCTCCTCTGGATGAAACGCAGAGCTTCACTGTTCCTTTCCGGCCCTATGCTTGGAGCAGCTACTCTGGACTGGAGCTGGAGCTCCACGGGCCCCTGACGCAGCGGAGCGTCCATCCGGGCCTGGAGGTGGACACAAGCTCCGCAGTCATGGCGCTTTACGCAGAGCGGAGCGGCCACCCGGCCGTGTTTGCAGAGCGCGCTCTGGCAGAGGAGCCTTACGGGGACTACAGGAGGATGCTGTTCCCTGAGGCGGGCCTGCACAGGAAGGCGCCCGATGGGAAGGCCTCGCCGGGCCTTCTCTGTCCGAACCTCATCCTGAACGGCGCTTACAAGTGTGTCAAGTGCGGTAAGGTAAGAGGCGCTCAAAGCGCAGTCAGAGCTGCACCTTTAAAGCATAAATGTCTCACTTTTCTGCAGGATCATCTCCTTCAATGTTGCATTTTCCCATCTGATCAGGTGTTTTCCACCCCCCACGGTCTGGAGGTCCACGTCCGCAGGTCTCACAGCGGAACCAGGCCTTACGCATGCGACATCTGCGGCAAAACGTTTGGCCACGCAGTGAGTCTGGAGCAGCACAAAGCGGTGCACTCTCAGGTACCACTGTCAAAGAAACCACATCCTGCAGCGCATGTCCTCAAATAGCGACTTATTTTATTTATTTGTTATATTTTCAGGAAAGAAGCTTCGACTGCAAAATTTGCGGCAAAAGTTTTAAGCGCTCCTCCACGCTGTCCACGCATCTGCTCATCCACTCGGACACGCGGCCCTATCCGTGTCAGTACTGCGGGAAGAGGTTCCACCAAAAGTCCGACATGAAGAAGCACACCTTCATCCACACAGGTGAGCTGGGGCCCCCAGTAGGTTCACACACTCTGGGGGCCAACTAGTTAATCCCAGCATGATCATTGGCCTCATCTTTATCAGAATAATTATTTTTAACTCATCTATTTATTTGTTTGTTTTACTAAATGTATTTATTTATTTTTGCAGGTGAGAAACCACACAAATGCCAGGTTTGCGGGAAGGCGTTCAGCCAGAGCTCCAACCTGATCACGCACAGCAGGAAACACACCGGATATAAGCCGTTCGGCTGCGACCTGTGCGGGAAAGGCTTCCAGAGGAAGGTGGACCTGAGGAGACACAAGGAGACGCAGCATGGACTGAAATGAGACGGAGGACAACTGTACGCTGAAGGAGACACACCTGGACAATAACCGAGGAGAAGAAAAACATTTTTCTTCTTTTTTTTTTTTTTCTTTTTGGATCAGGACACTAATTTGATCCATTTGAAGTCTCATTGACGCATTTTATTATTTTTGGGATTATAATTATAATAATTTCTATTATTTATGGCGGCAGTTAAAACAAAGACATAAAAAAAACACTAATGGAAACATCCTTCTGCGCTTTTTTTTTCTTAATAAAGGCCAGAGATAAGCTTTGAACTACAGAGGACCAAAAAAAAAAAAAAAAATCGCAGATGTGTTCATATGGAAAATGATTTAAATAAATGTTAAACCGAAAATAAAACACCTGATAAAAATCTGCGCTTTCTGCTGAGAGGTGTTGTTTTCAGCGGGTAGAGATGAGGGTGAAACAAGCTTCCCACTCCTCCTCCAGCTTTGATATGATTTAACATTAAAGCTGCTGATTAGTTAAATCAAAGTGACCCGAAATTATTAAAATAAGCAATAATAATGATTAATAATCTCCATTTAAAATCAAACGTGCAATCTTTTTTAATGCACCTGGGGGGGGGGGTTATATACTTAAGGTTGCACCATCTTGCTGCTGCTGTGATTGTGATTGCCCAGAGGCTCCTGTTTGTTTTGACCACTGCAGCTGCATGTTTGCACCTTCAACAATCTGAGCAGATCTAACCGTTACCCAAATACCTTTTGCCCTCATTGTTTTTTTTTTTTTTTTTTTTCATTCTGGAGGGGGAGGAAGGGGGCTGTCCATAAAAGAAAAAAAAAACCACTACGGATTTTATCTAGCAAAATTGAAAGATTCTACGACAAAACAAACAGATGAAGAGTGTTGGAGGTAAAACATGAAGTGTCAAGTGGTAACATCCTCCATGGCTGACTGGTTACCAATCCCAGAGGTTTAACGGTGCAAAGGTAACGTTGATCTTCGGGTTTTAATGGTTGAGCCGTTTTGGGATTGTTGTTTTGTGGAAAAAGAAAAGCAAAGTGTAGGTTTAACCGTCTGACCCAGTTCAGGAATGGCAGCCTAAGGTCACAGTGGACCAGAAAGGAAACACCTGCTGGAGGTGAAGGCTGAACAGTTTGGCCTCAAAGACCAGACCAACAGGAGTCCAGGTGAGGCTACTCCTCCCACTGCTGTGCATGGTGGCGGCTGCATCATGCTAAGGGACTCTGGATCTATTCTGAGATTGAATTTAATCACAAAGAAAATTATTACATCTACTGCTTCATCTCCAATCGACAGCCATAAAGGTCGGTTTGGTTTTTCAGAACCGTTTTTGATAGAAATTCAGGCTAAATATCCTTTCAGAATCACGTCTGCATCTCTGTCATGTTTCAGGGTTTTATGGAGAAAAAATCTAATATAAGATCAGGTTGTTCATTTTGATTAAATCTGCATTTTTGTAGCCCAGAACTGCATGAAGATTGAAACAGAAAAGAGAGAGAGGGGCAGTGTCTTCCTTCCTCAACATTGATTGAAATCAGTGACTCACAAGGATTTCTTCTTTTAACGCTTCACTTCTCTCCCAAATCGTACCAGACCGAGGCCTGTGGAGAAAAAAAAACACTGAATATTTTAAAGCCAGAGAACTGAAGGAGGAAGGAGGAGGAAGTCATCCTCATTTAGAGCAGGATTTACTGGAGCTTACTGCACACCGTGATCATATTTAAATCTGAAAACTAATTTATAATTAGATAAAAAAAAAAAAAAAAAAAAAAAGCATGGTGGACAGATTGGGTGATGCTCTGAGGGGGAACTTCTGGTGTTTTTAAGGCGCATTAAAGCAGCCGCTGAGCGCAGGTCTCCAAGCCGCTGGCTGCTTTCAGCTGAGGACTCCTCTCATTTCTCTATTCAGCTTCTTGGACCAGTGTTTTTATTAGCAGAAATGTTCGCTGTGAGGATGGAGATCCTCCCCCAGAGAAAAGCATCTTTAAAGAAGCCATTAGGCCGAGCAGACCCCCCCTCTGCAGCCTGAAGGCATATCAAATATGAATAACCAGTCTGGATCGATCAGAGAGAAGTTTAATCAGAACCCCGCAGTCTGAGGCTGACATGCAGACTGACATGCAGACTGACATGCAGGCTGACATGCAGACTGACATGCAGACTGACATGCAGGCTGACATGCAGACTGACATGCAGACTGACATGCAGGCTGACATGCAGACTGACATGCAGGCTGACATGCAGACTAACATGCAGACTGACATGCAGGCTGACATGCAGACTGACATGCAGACTGACATGCAGGCTGACATGCAGACTGACATGCAGGCTGACATGCAGACCGACATGCAGACTGACATGCAGGCTGACATGCAGACTGACATGCAGACTGACATGCAGGCTGACATGCAGACTGACATGCAGACTGACATGCAGACTGACATGCAGGCTGACATGCAGACTGACATGCAGACTGACATGCAGACTGACATGCAGGCTGACATGCAGGCCGACATGCAGACTGACATGCAGGCTGACATGCAGACTGACATGCAGACTGACATGCAGACTGACATGCAGGCTGACATGCAGGCCGACATGCAGACTGACATGCAGACTGACATGCAGGCTGACACGCAGACTGACATGCAGACTGACATGCAGACCGACATGCAGACTGACATGCAGGCTGACATGCAGACTGACATGCAGACTGACATGCAGACTGACATGCAGACTGACATGCAGGCTGACATGCAGACTGACATGCAGACTGACATGCAGACCGACATGCAGACTGGCATGCAGACTGACTTGCAGACTGACATGCAGGCCGACATGCAGACTGACATGCAGGCCGACATGCAGACTGACATGCAGACTGACATGCAGACCGACATATAGGCTGAAATGTAGGCTGACATGCAGGCTGACATGCAGACTGACATGCAGACTGACATGCAGGCCGACATGCAGACTGACATATAGGCTGAAATGTAGGCTGACATGCAGACTGACATGCAGACCGACATGCAGACTGACATATAGGCTGAAATGTAGGCTGACATGCAGGCCGACGTGCAGACTGACATGCAGACCGACATCAAAATACGAAATTTAAACAAAAACCTTTTTATTCATTTTTTTGGTTGAAATCATTATTATATAAAATTAATAATATAAAATCCATTAGAATAAATTAATTAAATTTAATGAGGATTTTTCTCAGCCTTTAATCACAGCTGTTTATTTTATTGTTATTCTGTTTTCCCCCATGGTAGTCCAACCTTCCCTTCATAGATCGATGGACCGATTAGATACCAATAGTTAAATCCGACCTTGTTGTTAACGGTAGCAGGAGCTACATAAAATAATATCTGAAATAAAGTAGCTATGGATTTTGGACATGTGCGCATGTTCCAGGACGCATGAACCATTTATGAACCATTCAGAACAAGAAAGTCTTGTAACAACTACAGGGCGACGTTCAAAATAACTCTACACAAAACAACATAGTCATGTTTGGTCATTTTCTGTTTTAAATCAGAATACTTTATAGATCCCACAGTGGGGAAAATCATGTTACAGCAGCAGTGCAGAAAAAAGAAGAAAAAAAAATACAAAAGGGCCGAAAGAAGAAAAGGGCTCCTCGGTATTATAAACGGTTTCTAGACAAAGTTAACTTAAAACAGTGACAAAGTCTGAAGCTTGAAGGATTGATCCTGTCTGAGGAAAAATTATAACTTATATTCTTCAGTTTGAGCAACTTTACCAAAATTTCAGATATTGAAATTAGATACAGTTTAATAGATAGATACGTAGATACAGATAGATACATAGATAGATAGATAGATAGATAGATAGATAGATAGATAGATAGATAGATAGATAGATAGATAGATAGATAGATAAATGATAGATAAATGATAGATAGATTGCCGCGTAAGCTTGAAGATTTTCCCATATTTACCATCAGCAACTTGTTTTTTTGTTGATGTCATCAATTCAAAATAACAGCTTCAGAAGCTACTTCATAACCTACTGTGCTTTTTTGTTCAAGTTTTTTGTTTTTGTCTCAGAAAAAAGTAATATAAGAATATTTTTTTTTAAATAACACCTAAACAAAATATTTTAAAAATATTTGCAGGTTAAAAAAGAAGAAAAAAGTTTAGAAGATTTGCATCTTTATAAAATGAAGAGCGGGTATTAATATCTAGAAAACACTCAGTGATTGACTCAGTAGTTTCTGTGAGAGGAGACAAGAGAGAGTAAATGTGATTAATTCCCCTGAGGGGGAGCCGGCCTGCTGTGTGTACTGTAATAATAAGGCGGTATTTGCTCTCATGCTCTGTTCAGCAGATTTCACACAGGTCTGACAGGCTCCAGAATGAGATGACCTGATAGAGATGCAGGATCCCTGACAGCAGACTTTAGCAGCAGCACTGATTAATGACAGTAAAAGAAGAAAGATGAGGCAGCTGATACACATCTGAACTGTTTTCATGCCCTCTGTTTATGTTTTCGATTGGGGGGAAAAAAAGTTGCTGCATCAAACAGACTTTTCTGTCCGCCAGTAACCCCCCCCCCCCCCCCCCCCCCCCCCCCCCCCCCCCCACCCCCCTCAGGGTTGGTTGGATGGTTGACACGCCAACCGAGCTGCGACACGGGAAGAGAAGCCAGGGCCCACACAGGACACAGCTCTTTTGTTGCACAGGCTTATTCATTATTCACCTGATCTGAAAAACAGACTGCAAACCAACTGCACAGCTGTCATCAAGCAACAAGGCGCGGACACAAATTATTCATGATGCAGCAAAGGAACGGCAGCAGGATGAGAGAGAGGAAAATAATAACTGGAGACATGATGACAGGCGTGAGACAAGGACGGTCCACCTCTCTGGGCTGATAACTGGGCCTCCTGGAGAGAATCCAACACTGGGAATGATTCACTGTTTTCCACACGTCAAATAAAAAGATCCTAACAGAAAATCTGGAAATAAACAACTCTGCACCAAACCTGCAGAGAGAATTAATTTTACATAAAACAAGTAACTTATTGGAACAGACAGGGGCGGAGCTCGATGGGGGGCCAGGGGTGGCCATGGCCAGCCTTAGCCAATCACTGGCCACCCTCTACTATTTTCCCCTTGTAATACAGACGGTGGCAGCAGTAATACTCTGAAGGGGAATGTTCAAACTTATTAAACATTTAAACTT